AGTAGATGATGAATTTATAATAGGTGGAGAACGAACAGGAGGTGAATCTGCTTCAAAATTTCTCGCTCGATTATTTGTCGGAGTTGACCATTTAGAAGTAGAAGAAGTTCTTGAATTCGAATTTTTGTACTTGTTAGATGATGATTGTGACGATGAGGTTCCCAATCTTTTAAAGTTGACTTGATAATTTGATCCGTTATTATTATCCCAGTAATCACGACCATTAACTTTATAACGGACTGCGAAATACATGGTTTTACCATCAATTTGATTCCTTGAATTATCAATTAATTCTATCGCAAAGATGAACAGATCAAAACTATTTCTGCTATCTTTATCCGGGACACCTTCAGCGTAATTGGCTGATACTTCCGATACGGTTTGCCAAAAATCAAACGTGTATCTAACCTCAACGCTCTTTTGAAAGGCAATATTTTGAACTTGAATACGACCTAAAAGTTTTCGTTTATCCGAGGACAAAAAGACCGATTCCACAAATACAGGCTTTGATCTATGCGATGTAGTTATTGGTGGCATATTTGGAACAGTTATAGAGAGTTGTTCATCTTTATTATTATTAATATTATTATTATCTTCATCTTCATTATCACTATCCAAATCTGACATCGAAAAGTCAAAATCTTCGTCATCGGATTCATCGTCCGAAGATACTTCTGCACTAACAGCTTGTGGTTTTTGAGCTTCTTTGAATAATTTAATTTGTTCTAAATCGGTATTAAAGTGAACGTATTTTGGAAATGTAGGGGTTGTTGGTTCGGATTTACCCTTTTTAAGGGAAGGTTTTACTAATTCCCCACTTTTTTTTCTAGGGAAAAGACCAACTTCGGTTGACATTTGAGGAGGTAAGTCGACTTTAAATGACATTCTTCTAGTATATGAATCAGATACAGATTTTCTTCTTGGAGACGATGATAATTGAGGAGAAGTAGATAATATATCTTTAACTTGTTTAATAGCACTGTCACGATCTAAATCATTATATGATTTATCTTTCTTTTCAATTGTAGTCGTAGTTGTAGTAGTCTTTGTAGTAGTATTTGTGGTCGTATTCATGTTCTTATTCGTGGTATTACTTGTGGTAGTCGTAGAAGTGGACTGACTTGCGAACGAATGACTAATAACATTCATATTTAAATCATCTTGCTTCTTTTTCGAAATTCCAAAGGTTATTTTTGCCAAAGACCACCCACGATAATTTTGATTGTTTGCTGGTGGTACTGGAGATACTGGAGCACTGCCTTCGTTCCGTTTATTGAGCGAGGTGGGTGGTGCGTAAGGCATAGTGGATAAAGATATCGATATTGTTCGATTTCTAAAAAGAAGAAATGTAATTTATTAACGATCTGAATTAATTTGAATTAATTTGAATTAATTTGAATTAATTTGAATTAAATTCGTGATAAATGCGTTTCTTAGTTATCGTAAAAAAATAGATATTGAATATAAAATGTATAAAAGGATTTTTTTAATTATAGTTTATATGGTGGATAAATATTAATGCAAAGACGCGCTTTTGGGAAACACAAAATCCGTGTTAGGATTTCAGAGCGATAAAAAAAAAAGAAAACAAAAAAAAAAGTATTTTACGTTTGTAAAAAATAAAGTTGTGAATAAAATACCAACTTTTAATAAGATTCACTAAGCAAGAAAATAATTTTTTATTATTTAAAAGATGAAAAAGGATTCTTTTATATATATATATTTTTTGACTTTTTTTTTTTTTAAAAAAAAAAAGTCG